AATATTGCAAAACTTGCCCAAGGTCACAACGATAAGCAGTGCAATACTGAGTTCATAAGTATTCCAGGCTTCTGGTGACTCAGTCTCTGTCAATGTTCTTTAATTTACTTTTTTTCTCACATAACTTGCTCAAAAATTTTTTTTAAATTAGCTTTTTTTGGTGAGTGGAAAACAAGTATTTGCTACAAAATTAATCAAAATAATTTCGATAAATAATTATTTCTTTTAATATTTATTTAGAGCCATTACCTATGGCTCTAAAGCAGAGGTTCGCAAACTATGGCCCACTGCATGTTTTTGTAAATAAAATTTTATTGAACTATAGCCATGCCCATTCATTTATGTACTGTCTACGGAGGCTTTTGCAATACAACAACACAGATGTAACAGAAACCACTTGATCCACTAAGCTGAAAATATTTGCTGTCTGGCCCTGTATAGAAAAACTTTGCCAATCTTACTTTAGAGCATGAACCTTTCAAAAAATGATGTTTACATTTCTTTTTTTTTTCATTTCTATGTTTCTTAAGTTACACAAAGTATGTTATATTTTATATCAAAATATATTTCTTATTTAAAACAAAACAACCAAAAGAACTCTGTAGCTAAAACACTCAGGAGTCTTCAAATCCTGAAAAAAACAGGTATGGGGGGTTGGGGGGGTGGTATTTCCCAGCTCTTCTCTCTAATAGTTTAAGTAAGGCATTATCATGACTTTTATCCAGGCTTACCTACCAAAGGCAAATATCCATCACCACCAAAAATATATTACAAAGCAGGCCAGGCAGGATTAAAACATTTAGAGGTCACCCACTATAAAGACCATGGGTGACTTCTAACTGTTAGACATGAATGAATAATTCATATGGAACTGGCCCTCCTGCCATTAATGATCAGAAAGCTGGACAAAATATATGAAACAACTGCTTTCAGGGAGTGGAACAACAGGCAGACCAGGACTGTAACTACTGCAAAAAGGGAAACAACTGAGGTAAGTCCTGTAATTGTCCTCTTCCATGCACAAGAGAATAGGAATCCAAGCACAGCACAGCAGTCTCAAAGGATTGAGAGGACAGTGACTAGGGTCTGGTGAGGCTGAGGCAGCAACGGTCTGCACTGGGGAGGGAACTATGCAAATAAAGAGCTCTAGCAATCTGCATAGGGATGCCCTTGAGTCTGATGTTGAATCCTAAAGCACTGAGGAACAGTAACTGGGAGCTATAAATTGAACAATTTCCAGAATTCACACAGGACTGGGAAACATTAAAATTCCAGCCAGAGTAGAGCTATCTCACTGAACCCTCAGCAATCAGTAGAGACTCCACAAGGGCCATGCTTTTGTAACAAGGCTAAATTAGCCCTTTCATAAAGGCTACACTACACCTGCCCCAACAAAGCCTGGTAAGGATCAGCCTAATCCACAAATTACTTAGCCGCCCACCAAAACAAACTTCAACACTCTTTAAAGGATGACAAAAAAAAACCCCAAACATTCAATGACATAATATACGCAATGTCCACGTCAAGAAGCAGCAATGGACAGAGATGACAGAATTAGCAGACAAGGATGTTAAAACAGTTATTGATAAACATGCTCCATACACTCAAGAGTGTAGGAAAAAAACATGAACATAATGAAGAGATAACTGAAAGACAGAAAAAAAAAGACTCCATTTAATTCTTTGTTATGTCATCTACAGCTGAAAAAATACTATACGTGAAATTAAAAATTCACTGGATAGAATTAACAGCATATTAGACACTGCAGAAAACAAGACAAATAAATACACAGTAAGACAAACTATTCAAATTGAAGTCAGAGAGTAAAAAAAACTGGAAAAAAAATCAGTCTCTCTTGCTCAGTCATTTACCTGCATCACTGTAGAGAGTCCCCACCACAAACAAGGCCCTCACCAGATATGTTCCCTGAGCGTTGGACTTCCCAGCCTCCAGAACTTCATCACCAAAGAAGCCCCTCACCATAAGTGTTCCCTGGGCTTTGAACTTCCCAGCCTCCAAAACTGGTATTTTTTTTGGAGACCATCAATCATGATAAAGTTTCAAGAAGTTTGTGGGAAGTTGCTTCTGCCCTAGAGTCCCATCAAGAAAAGCCTTAAGTGCTGAAATTCCCTGAAACTTTTAAGTTTGTAACACTTGTGATAGTTCCCCCAAGAAATCAACCTTAACTATGCTGTATTCTCTCACCTTGCCAAAATTAACTTTCAAATTAAGACCTAACATTATCTTCATCTAATATGGTGACTCTTCTTCCTAAGGAAGCTATGTTGTTATGATTGTAATTACATTTGTGGAGCTTTCCAGATTGCAAAGTATGTACACATGCATGACCTCGTTTAGTGCTCATCATGATCCTGGAGCTTGGGAAAGCAGGGGATAACATTTCATATGCAATTTCTACAATCAAGCAAAGGTGGCAGCCTCTGTTGTTTCAGCAGAGTCAGTCCAAACAAACTTGGGATGGCCTGAGGGAAAGAAATTCAGAATTTACCAGCTGCTATTACCCTCCAAACAGTATGAAAAAAATGACACTCTTGTTTCCTGGAAAGCAAGGTTTCATGCCAAGAATTACTGTGGGGATTTGGAATACCAAATCAATCATTCTCTCGTATTTTACCACCTATTTAAATGCTGAGGGGCTCTCTTCCAAACTGGTCAATGTATCACCTGAATCTGGGCCCAATGCCATTTGTTCTGACCCAACTGCCTCTGCTAGGTGGGCTCTGAACCTACTGTAGAAGGGCAAATCCTACAGGAGCCTTTTGTATTCTGTGCTGGCAGGTGAGGCAGGCAATGTCTGTGGTGGCCCTGGAAGAAATGGGTAGCTGCTAATGTTCCATGGAGCAAACCTTTGACTACTGGGAGATGGAAGTTGGTAAGTAAATTATTTTTAGTTTTTAATCTCCCTTCTTTTTTTTTTGGTGACTGGCTGATAGAGAGATCCCTTCTTTGTTTTTGAAGGCAATGTAATGAGTCTCTAAAAACTGTAAGAATTCTCTCTTATTCAGCCCATTCTCACCATGTAATACCCTGTGTTGTTGTGGAGAGTCACCACCAAGAACAAGACCCTCATCATATGTGTTCCCTGGACCTTGGACTTCCCAGTCTCCAAAACTAAAAAAGGAAGAGAAAAGAAGGAGGCACTGTGACCACAGAGGAGACACTGGAGTGATGCTGCCACAAGCCAAAGAACATCTGAAGCCACCAGAAACTAGAAAAGACAAGAAACGAATTATCCCCTAGAGCCTCTGGAGGATGCGTGGCCCTGCCTACCCCTTTCAGACTTCTGCCCCACAGAACTGTGAGAGAATAAATTTTACAGAAAATCCAGGACACAGAAGATGAAGTTAGAGGAAACAATAAGGCAAGTCCAGACTGTGGGACAACTGGCCTCAAACCTTCAAAAACTAAAGTCAAGAAGAGAGAAGAAAGCGGGGGAAATGTACTAGTTTAAAAGAAACTAAAGACGCATAACACCAAATAAGATATGTGAACCATGATTGAACCTCGATGTGGTAGATTGTCTGCTAAGACTGCTGCCAACAATTCCTCGAATCCGTGTAAACACATACTTCTTCTCCCATTGCAGGGTGGAGTCTATTTTCCCAACTTGAATTTGGACTGGCCTGTGGATTGCTCCATAATTTAATGCAGTGGAAAAGAAGCTGAATGGCTTCTAGGGCCTAGACCATGAGAGACCTTTCAGCTTTCAATTTTACTCTCCTGGAACCAGCTAACATGAGGTCCAGCCCACCTGACTGAACCAGACATTGGAATGAAGCCACACTCCAGTCCCAGTGGAGCTGCCCCAGCCAATATCACATGGAACACAGATGAGCTATCCCCACTGAAACCACACAATGCAGTCATGCAACTGGAAAAAAGTGAGGAAGTTCTCTATGAACTGATATAGAAAGATTTCCAGGATATATTGCTAAATGTAAAAAGCAAGGTGCAAAAAAGAGTACATAGTATAAACTATCTTTGGTGTTTGTACTTGCATGAAAAACACTGGAAGAATATATAAAAAACTAATATAAGTGGTTACTTATAGGTGACATGGATATTCATCCCATTATATACCAGTATGGTTGTGCTTGTTAAAATACAGAAATACTCCTGTCCTGATTAGTAAATGCCACTACCAAGTCCTGGGGGGCGGGGGGGGGGGGAATTATCCGAGCAACAGTGATTTATGGGACAATATCAAGAAGTCTAACATACATGTAATTGGAGTCCCAGAAGCAGAAAAGAGCAAGACAGAAAAAACATTTAAAGAAATAGTAGCAGGAATTTTTCCGAATTTGATAAAAACTACAAGCCCACAGATCCATAAAACTCAAAGAGCATCAGACAGTATTAATAAAGAAAAGCACACCAAGGCACATCACAAATTGCTCAAAACAAGTGCCATTAAAAACAAACCGAAAATAATTACATTACTCTGCTGGCTTCATATATAAAATAAAAACAACTTTAATCCAAAAAAAGCAAATAATGTCTTTCCAGATCTTCTGATTGAAAAAAAAGTAGGTAAAGTTCATTGAAGTTGAACTGTCTCCTTTTAATAGAGGCCTTCCTTTGCTGGTATCCCTAACATAAGCTTAGTCTATTTATTGGAAACAAAGTATAATTAAACTACTGGAAAATAACAGTATATAATGCAGTTATATACCTTACAGTTTACAAATATCACATACTTTAGATTGTATGCCCTTTGAAGTCAGGAACCTTCAAGTCTTTGCCAATAAATTTCTAGTGCAGTTTCTAGTAAATTTAACTGTTTGAATACACATGAATGAATCAATTTCATTTCATTCTCAGTACACTATTATGTGGTATGGAGAATAAGATGAGAAAACAGATGCCCAGAGGGATTAAATGATTGTCCCGAGTATACTCAAAAGGCATCCCTAGTGTAATGGCACCACAGTGTTGCCTCAAAGTAGACACAAAAGAAATAAGTTCTAAGTATTACTTACTCTGAGTTTCCACAAGATCCAAAGCAACACCAGATGCTGTATCCATTCCAGAGTTGATACAGGATTGGAAGCTTTTTAAGGAGGAGAGAGCAGACTCTACACCGCTGAAGGATATGAAACCAGTTGCACCTGAACTTGAATTGGAACGCCCTGGCATCTTGAAATTATTACCTAAGTTTTCAAACACAATGAAATAAAATTTATAAGTCAGAATAATAACCGTACAGGAAAATAAAACTGATGAAAACATTCATATGAATGTATCCAATATCCCACAAATGTCAGACTGTTATCTATATCCAATATCCACTAAGAGGATACCAAAGCATTGTGCCATTATCTGGGCCACCAAAGACAGATGCACTCAATATATGAAGAAGTTAACTGTCTTCATTTTTTAAAGGAGGGAGATTACCCTTTTCCAAAAGATTCCTTGATTCTCTGAAGAATTCAACAACAGCACAATTCTTAAAAGCCTGAAACATAAAGGGATTAGAAAAAGGAGACCATTCATGACACAATTTTCTAAAAAATGAAAATAATACTGATAAAATGGTTTAATAAAGCAGGATTTTGAAAACCTGCAACCTTCAACTTATTTGACACATATGCATATTGAATTCTGACAACTAAAAAAATATATATATATTCCTCTGGGTTCTAACAGATTTATAGACTTCATGAGATCCCAGATTTGGTAAATAGCAGAATTTCTCTAGAAACTCTTGTCTTCTGGTAGCACATTCACTGTAATAGTTTCAGTTATTACCTTCATATTAAACACTCCCTAATGTATATTTTCTACCACAAACTCTTTAAGCTATGGACCACTTACATAAAGCTGTGTACAAGAAGACAGCTTTGCTTAATTGAGAATCCATCTGAAATTCAATCCACTGAAACCATCTAAAAAAGTGGAAAGAGGGCCGGCCCGGTGGCGCACTGGAGAGTGCGTCGCTTGGGAGTGAGGCGGCGCTCCCGCCGAGGGTTCGGATCCCATGTAGAGACCGGATCCCACTCACTGGCTGAGCGCGGTGCGGGCGCAACACCGAGGGTTGCAATCCCGTTGCTGGTCCCCGGTACGGGCACGACACCGAGCGTTGCAATCCCGTTACCGGTTAGTAAAAAAGACAAAAAGGGGGGAAAAAAAAAGTGGAAAGAATTCACATAGACTTAAAGGAATGGGAGAGCTGGTCCCAGGGCAATATGGCAGCAAAAAGAAAGGTATGATCTTGGAATCAGATGGACATAACATGATTTCAGGCTCTGCCACTTTACTACTGTGTGACCATGGACAGACTGTTAAACTCTCTGAACCTCAGGTTTACTGTCTTTAAAATGAGAAGGAATCATCATAGTGTGGTCTACCATACAGTATACAATTTATTAATATTAGAACCTTCCCTCTTGCCCTTCCATTCTTTAGTGGGGAACTGCAGTATCTCTGGCATTTCCATCCTCTCCACTGCTAGCACCTTTATCTCACAGCGAGACTACTACTGTAGTTTCTCAATTACTGATCCTTTTTAATTAGGTTCATTCATTCAGTCCACAAAAAGGTATCAAGTACCTACCATGTCAATCATTAGACTCATTCAAAAACACACAGGGTATGAAAAGGGAAGAGCACAGAGATGCATAAGACACTGATTTCTAACTCTGAGGTGTTAGCTTACTGCAAACATCCACAATACAACTCATTGTCAATTCAAATAACTCAGTTAACAAATATTCAGTACCTCCTTAAGTGCCAGGCACTACTTTCAGCACAGCAATGCAGTTGTTTTCAAGATGAGCACTCTTAAGACTTTCGTTTTAAAGCACTAGTTTGTTTACTCTAATTTGATGAAAACCTACCATGTGCCAGGCACTATCCTAGGCACGAGAAATAATCATTTTCTGCTCCTCAGGCATGCTTCCAGCTTAGGGTCTTTACACTTGCTGACTAGATAGACAAAGAGGCCAGAAATCAAAACAGACAGAAAGAAGAAAGGGTTAGTCTTAACTCTCTGTAACCTATACAATAAATTCAACAACATCAGCAAAGTATCCAAAGCCTTCTGCATTATAATGCAAACATGCTTTTCAGAGATTCTACCTTTCGCCGAGACAAAACATATATTACATGTAAACTTAACTACTCAACGTTACAGAATAAATACAACCCATTTCTGCCACAACCCCTCAGTGCAAGCTTGGAAGTGAACAAGTACAATATTAGAAGAATAAACCAAGTATTATGAGTTCAAAAAAGAAAGAGATTACACAAACTCAGTATACTAAGTGGTTCAAAAAAGGAAGTGATGACAGGCATAACTAAATGAAGACATAGGCTTCATGGAAAAGAAGACACTTAAGCTAGAGTATAAAGGATAGTTAGGATTTGGAAAGGACTAAATTATCAGGCGAAAGCATTTCAGGTGAAGGAAACAGTAAGATATAAAAGTCATAAGGTAGTAAAGTGTGAGATGAGTTCCCTTTGCCTGGCACACAGAGACAAAGGGAAGGAAAGACAATTGAATTCCATTCTTCGGGAGTACAGTGTAGAGGGTCTAAAGTGCAGGATAAAGAATCAGTCTGATTGGGTCTGGGTGTCATCAAGTGGGACTTTTAGCTTTATGTATTTTTAAAGCTTTATCTTAAATATCAAGACCTAAAGCAAATATGGCAAATGTTACAGATGTTAAAATCTGAGTGATGAAACAAAGGTTCTCGTTATTTTCTGGGGTTTTAAAATTTCACACTAAAAGGGAGAATATATAAAGGTGAATTTAAAGATGGTGTTTTTAAACATTTGCATTTTGGTGAAAGAAAGTGCTTATTTACAATCTCACTTTATTATACCAAACAAGTTGAGACATTTTACATGATATAAACATAAACACATGCAAAAGATGGAAAAATATAAATTAATAAAAACTAGGATCAAAAAACAAATTAAAGGGAAAACCAAATACATGAGAAAGAATGCAGGCAAGCTGACTTGAGGATTCTACACAGTACTGTACTTGTAATACAAATTTGGCTGTGAGCTTTCTCACAATCAAAAAAAAAAAAAATGAAAGCTATTTTCTCCATTAAAAAAAAAAAGTACACCAGAGAGCTTGTGGGTTAGCTCAGTTTGTTAGAGCATGGTGCTGATAACACCAAGGTCCAAGGTTCAATACTTGATAGGCCAGCTGCCAAAAAAAAAAAAAAAAAACCACCACTACCACCAAAAAAAGTACAGCAGGAACTCAAGAAAAATAAAGCATTCCACTGACTTGAGGATTCTACACAGTACTGTACTTGTAATACAAATTTGGCTGTGAGCTTTCTCACAATCAAAAAAAAAAAAAAAAAAAACCACCACTACCACCAAAAAAAGTACAGCAGGAACTCAAGAAAAATAAAGCATTCCACAGCAATCAAGGCAAAAGGGATCATCATACATGAGTTAAGAGTCATACTGAAAAATACTCTCAATAATATCCTTGCAATAAATGCAATAGCAAACTTCCTAGAACTGTTTTCTTGAGACTATTCCTCAGAGTAGGGGAAAGGACAGGACACTTGTGACAGATACCAACTAGGTGCCCACAAAACCCATTTTCTCTTCAACCTGGTCATGCAGCTACATAGGCACCACATTTTGCAGCCTTCCATGCAATTAGGTGGGGCCCATGACTGCATTAAAAGCAATGAAATATGAGCCACTGCCAGGTCCAGTCCATAAAAATCACACTTTCCCATTTCATAGCTTGATACTGGTGAGCATATTGGCCTTAAAAGCTATATAGTGACAATGGAGAATTAATAGATAAAAGGAGCCTACAACCCTACATCACTGCTTAAAGGAACACTGCTCACCAATCAGGCTCCATGCATGAAAGAAATAAACTTCAATTGTGCAAAGTCATTTAGATTTGGGAGTTTACTTGTTATAGCACCAAGTATTACTCAAAACACACAATCATGCAAGGAACAAAATGATAAGGTTCAAGTATACAGTTTTCTCACCAGTATTAATTCTAGTGTAAGTCTAAATTGTCTAGAGCAGCACTGTCCAACAGAACTTTCTATGATAAGGAATATGTTCTATAATCTGCATTGCTCAATGTGGTAGCCACTAGGCACATGTGACTATCGATTACCTAAAATGGGGTTAGTGTAACTGAGGAATTGAGCTTTTAATTTTATTTAATTTAAATTTAAATAGCCATCTATTTAAATGTACCTACTGGCTACTGTGTCGGAGAATACATTTCTAGGAACACAATTATCAAAGTATTCTATAATATAATATGAACCAGGGGGCAAACAACAGGTGGCAAAGCCACAGAATAAACAAATCATATCTTCCTGGAATATCAATTTTACTTAAAGATAATATGAAACATGTTTATACTGAAACAAACATTAACTACATTATGGAGTAGAATATGGAGCAATAAAGAGTAGGGGGTAAACATGCAGCCTTTGGAGCCAGACTACCTGAGTTCAAAGCCTGGTTTTACCAGTTAGCAGCTGAATGACTTGTGACAAATTATTTAATCTCTTAATGCTTCACTTTTCCCTTTTGTAAAATGGGGACAATCCAGTGCCTACCTGAAGGATTACAGCAAGGACTGAATGAGTTAATATGTATAATAAAACACTTAGAATAATGCCCAGCACATAAATCTTTAAAAATGGGAGCAAATATCATTATAACACTGTGAGCAGCAATAGAGTACTGCTTGAGAGAACAGATAACAGACACAGATGCCTGGAAATTCCACTCTGCCCATGCCACTTGAAACTGCATGGCCTTGGTGAAGTTGCTTAACTTCTCTATCTTCAGGGTGCTCCTGTATAAAAAGGAGATAATCATATCTACCTCACAGCATTATTGTAAGAATAAGTTAAATTTTGTAGTTTTCTCAACCTTGTCTGACCTCAAAAATCAGTTGAAACACTTCCTAAAAATACAGATTTATGGGCACTATCTCAGACCTATTGCATCAGAGACCCTGAGGAAACCACATTTTATAAGAAGCACCTCAGATGTTTCTTATGATCAGACAAGTAGAGAAAATACCGAGGTGATTGTGATCCCCCACCACCAAAATTCATAGCTGAAGCCCTAACCCCAAATGTAAAGGTATTTGAAGTTGGGGCCTTTGGGAGACAATTAGGTTTAAATGATGGGGTAGTGCTCTTACAAGAAGAGGAAGAGATACCAGGGCTCTTGCTCTTTCTCTCTCCACCATATGACGACACAGCAAGAAGATGACCATCTGCAAGCCAGGAAGAAAGCCCTCACCAGAATCTGACCATGCTGGTACCTGCTCTTGGACTTCCTGCCTCCAGAACTGTGAGAAATAAATTTCTGTTGTTTAAGCCACCCAGTCTATGGTACTTTGTTATGGCAGCCTGAACTATGATGCAATACATATAAGGATTAATGAATCAGGATATATAGAAAAGTATCTACCACGTGGTAGCTATCATTATTTGAATGCAAAACTCACATTACTCTAACGAAACTTTACTCTTGCAGAGAGCCAGGTAAAACACAGTCACACCTTTCTGTAATTCTGGAGTATTTAAAGAGTAAAGATTAAGACTGGATTGAGAAACAAAGAGATGGACAGAGCAGAAAGATGGAACAGACACACTTTTCTCTATTCCTCTCACTACATACAGCCAAGTATGGAAGTCAAAGGTAAATCCCTTCTTTCTCTCTTAACAGCACCTTCTTTGATGATTATAGCCTGCTGCAGTCACTCTACTTTGCTAATCACTACTATCTTGCATGATGCTCACAGTGCTTCGCAAACAGCAAGTGCTCAGAAAATATTCTCTAAATGAATAAACCAACTGTATGCTTCAGTCAGACCCACGTCTATCTTCTTCCATTCTCTCTTTCACACACACTATTCATAATCCCAGCTCTAGACTTTGTTCATTCTGCTTCCACCATGAGACTACCTTCTTCACTTCTCCATCTGCCCAAATCTTACCCATCTACTAAGGTCTGAATGTTTGTTTACCCCCAAAATTTACAGGTTGAAATTTATAGGTTGAAATCCTAACTCCCACAAGTGATGGTATTAGGAGGCAGGGTCCTTCAGGAGGTGATCAGATCCACCCTTACGAATGGGATTAGTGTCCTTATAAAATATGCTCCAGACAGTTGCTTTGCCCTTTCACCAAAAGGACAGAGCAAGAAGGTACCATCTACAAATGAGGAAATAGGCCATCACCAGACACCAAATTTGCTGGCACCTTGATCTTTGGCTTCCCAGCCTCCAGAACTGTGAGATATAAATCTCTATTTATAAACTACCCAGTTTATGCTATTTTGTTATAGCATCCTAAACAGACTAAGACCCCATCCTTCATGGCTTTCTCTCTCTCTCTCTCCCCCCTCCCCCCTCTCTCTATTTATTTATTTTTATTGGCTAGCTGGTACAAGGATCCAAATCCTTGACCTTGATTTTTTAACACCACGCTCCAACCAACTGAGCCAACCAGACAGCCTTTTATGGCTTGGTTTAAATTAGTGATTCGCAACTGGAGGAGATTCTGTCCATCTCCCAGGAGACATTTAGCACTATCTGCAGACATTTTTGGTTGTCACACTGAGGGGGAGGGGAATGCCTACTGGCATCTAATGGGCCAAGGTCAGGGATACTGTTAAACATCTTACAATGCACAGGAGAGCCCCACACAACAAAGAATTGTGGGGCCAAAATCCAGCCCAAAATATCAATACTGCATTGGTTGAGAAACACCAATTTACATCAACCTCCTCTTGGATCTTTCTCCAGGTAACACTGATCTTTTTGTTCCCTGTATCTACAGTCTCCAAGAAAGTTTAGAACAAGATTATGCATTTTCTGAGTTCTTCTCTAGCATGTTATTTTGCCTCCCCTAACAATAAGGTTCTCTGTAGGCACAGCCAATTATTAGCTCATGTAAAGATAAAAACACCTCTCTACTGTTCCTTCCACTTATCTTTCTCAATAGCACAGTGGAAGGCACAGACAAACACTTTATAAAGGATATGCTAATCTTTAAAATCCATTGGGGTCTTGGACAAGTCAGCTAGAGCTGTGTCTCCCTTTTCAACATACAGGATATATCCTTGTCTCTGAAACGTTCCCTTATCCATACAGTTACTTGTTCCCTCATCCATACAATTACTTGTTCCCTCCCTCACACTACCACTGTCCCTCCCACCACCCTCTCTCACATTCACACATACACTTCTACTATAAAATTCATTACAACTTATTTGCTCACATGTCTGCCACTCCATCCTGGGAGCTCTTTAAACTAGAACCCTGACATATTCCGTAGCATATAATGTTTTACAAAATAGGCGAACAACAAAGATTTGGCGAGAGATACAAAAATAACAACAATAACAGGCACGGCCATTTCTAGGTCACCTACGGCGTGCCATAAACTGGTGCCCCGGCGCTTCATTCTCATTATCGTTAATCCTCACAGCAATCCATATAAGCGAAAAGGAAACTGAGGCCCAGGGAGTTGATTTAAACGACTTACCCACGGCCCTGCTTTTAAAGCCAGTTCAAATCACATTTATCTGGTTCAAAAACTCGTGGTCTTTCCCCACCTTCTTAGCGCTGAAGAAAGGAGAGAGGGCGTCTTGGAGAGGGGGGTTAAACTGCCCTAGACTCACTACTGTGGCGTGAAAAGGGCCAGGACCATAACCCCGGTCGACAGACCCCCAGCTCAGGACCCCCGCGGGGCTCCCAGAGGGCGGCGACAACTCGCGCCACCTTCCTCATCGCCGTCCCCCGCTTCTGCCTTACCTGAATGCCCAAGGTATGTCCGTCTGGCCGCACCCCGACTTCCCTCACCCGGCCCCCAACTCTTTTCCTCAACCCCCTTCGTCTGTGGCTGGAACCGCGCGCGCGGGCTCTTGCGTCATCAGCCGTCGCCAAGCAAGTGGTCACATGACGCCCCGCCCTGCTCTCTGCCTCTGCGGTCATGTGATGGCCTGGGAGCCAGGGGCGGAAGCTGGGGTCCGGCCGGCTCACGAGCCGGGCTGTGGAGAGAGGGGACCGCTGCGGGGACGGACGGGTGGCGCCCGGGTGCGGACTCCGCGCGCGACCGCCCCCCCTGCGCGTGCGCTGCTGGCGCGGCCCCGCTGGCAGGGGAGCCCGGGCGGCGTGCGCGCGCCCCCTCCTCCCTTCCCCCCTGCCCCGGGCTGGGCCGCACGGGCCTTGGGGGCATCTGCGGCGTCGCGTGTTTTCTGGATGCGGGACCTGGGATGGAGGACTTAGGACTTCGTGGGGCTGGAGTTCAGCTCTTCATCTTCTCTTAGATGGAAATCACTTTGTACACCCTTGTGGCGTTTTGGGAGGTGATGTTCTGCTGCTGGGCCCGCTTCTGATCCTTCCAAGTTTCCGGAAGCGGTACTGTATGGATGCTGTTATTCTTTCATTTACTTTTGAGAAAACTGAGTGGTTAGTGACGGCTTTAACAGTCTGAGGAATCCCGATTTTAATTCTAGTTCTGCCAAGGGCTGTGGGTTTGGGTTAGTCGTTTCTCCCCTCTATGCCCCTTAATTCCCTCACCTGTGACATGGCGATGCCAAAGTCCTTTGCATTTCCAAAAAATGTTTCTGATTGGGGTCCTGATTCGGCTAGGGTCGCACGGCGTCGGGGGGGGGGGGGAGTCACAGAGCCAGTTGTAGAACCGGTTCTCCTGATTCCAAGTGCATGGAGCTCCCTCCAACATAGGTGAGGGGTAGTGAGGGGGAAGTTTTACTCCTAACCATAACGAGGGACACCTTTCCCGGTTGTCCTTCACCTGTCTGTCCCAGGATTTATGAAGGGACTAGAGTGATCAGGCTCATTTCAGAACTATCTGGAAGACATAGACCGTTCACATTTATCTTGATCAACAGCCGTATTTTGTTCCTGATAATGGATTTGTGAAGACCAGTGCCTCCTTGATAAAATAGACCTATCTTCTGTTGTCCTCTGAGTAGGGTAAACAGTGGTTTGTCCACAACAATTTAATTTCTTTAAGAAATTTTGTTCTGTACCCATTGCATAATTGGTGATGGTGCTATGTTTCATTATTGAAAGCATGTTGTCTTTTGACTAGGATTACTTCCTAAACTGAAAATCACAGTTCCAAGCCAAACTCTTAAAAATGAAGTTACTGTCACTTAATACTTGTAAAAGAAAATAAGGAAATTGAGTGGGATCTCTGGTTCCCTTTCATGCCAGTAGTAGTACAGTCTACATTGAAAAAACTGGTCTTTATGAGCTTTTTCATCTCTATGACCAAGAGAACCCCTAAAAAGATGATTTAAGATAGCTTCTTCCACAATGTTTATTTGGACCTCATTCTAGAGTAATTTTAAAAAAATTCAACTAAGTCTTAACCCCTTGTAAAGCCACCTACCTACTTCTTAAATCGCTGCCACATGATTAGTCCATCTTTGATGGTGGTGGTTAGATTCTGTTCTTCGGGCCAGTTTTCCAGCCAACAATGGGTCTGTTTACCAAATACTGTAGCCAAATAATATTTGTGCAAATTGTGGAAATTCCGTTTGTTACATGGAAAATATGACTAGTTCAGGTTAGAAGCTCTATTATATAATAAAGTAACTATGTATGTTAATGTAACTAAGTGATTTCCTTCCTTCAGTTAATCTTGTTTTCTTCAGTCTTCAAAAATTTAGCAAGAGGTGCTTGCCTTATTAGACATAGAAAGAAATTCAAGTACTTTTCATGAAGTGAGACAGACTACAGGCAATGAGTTTATTTCACTAAAAGTGTGTTAAATATAACCTGTATTTTGCTTTTACATTAAAAAAATTTAACATACACATTTGTTTTTATGGAATTTTAGGTAAGGCAATTAACCTAGGTAAAAAAGACCCATAACATTTGCTTTACTATTGCCAAGCATGTTTGATTATTTTCTTATTCTTCTAATGTTCTTTTAAAGCTGTCTACAGTGTAATTCTTGAGTAAGGGCTTAAGTTTTAAAATAAGAGATTAAAACACAAAAGTCTTGATTTATGTCATTATCTGTTATTTGATGCCTAAGCTTCCCTGAATGTGTGCATGCAGGTGCAGAGTATATCTGAAAGTCTGTCTGTTGGGAGAGGCTGGGGATGACCACAGGTAATGTTGCTGTGCTTTAAGCTGTTTTCTCCAGGTCTTGATTGTTTGCCTTACCTCGGTATCCAAAATCTGTTAGCAGTTAGACCTGTTAAGCATAGCTTGCCCTACCTTACCCTCCTCTCCATCAGTCCAGGGTTTCATGTGCTGAGACCTTCTGGGTTAGTTTGGTGGTCTTCAGAGGACTTCAGTAGTTGATGATTTTGTCCATTGTCCATTATTTTTCCCTTTTTCCTCTCATTACCCAAACCAGACCATATCAGTGCAGAAAATGAAATGGGATTATCTGAAATTCAGCTAGTTAGAGATCAGTGTGGTTTAACAAGCAAGCATTACAGAGAAAACTAAATGCACTTGTTAATAATTTATATTTAATGTGTATTATAGGATACTTTTGAGAGAGAGTTCTAGACAGCTGTAGTAGCTTATCAGCAATCTTTGCTCTTGGATCCTTTCCTGTTCATCTCCCCTGATCTCTGTTTCTATCCCTTGCTCTTTCTGCTCCAGCCACATCAGCTACTTTACTATTTCTTAAGCTCATGTAGCACATTCCTGCCCCAGGTCTTTGTACTTACCTGTAACCTCTGCCTGGAATGCCCTTCTCCTGCATAATTATCTGTTGCTGCATAACCCCAAAACTTAGTGGCTTAAGACAATAAATATTATCTTACAGTGATCAAGAATCATGGATATGGCTTACCTGGGCTGCTTTGACTCAGAGGCTCTTGGGAGGTTGCAGTCAGGCTGTGAGCAGGGACTGTAGTCTTATCTGAAGTCTTGACTGGGTTTGGGGAAATGCACTTTCAAGCTCATTCATGTGGTTGTTGGCAAGCCTCAGTCCCTTGTCACATTGGCTCCTCAACAGGGCTCTCTCACACCATGACAACTTGCTTCTAGGACTAGCAAGCTAAAGAGGGTGCCAAAGCCAGAAGTCACAGTCTTTTTGCAATCTAATCTAAGAAGCAATATCTAGTAAAAGAACTTCTGCTATGCTCTATTCTTTAGGAGGGAGTCAATAAGTCAGCCCTCACTCATGTAGGAAAGGAGCTTATGTAGGGCATGAATACCAGGTGACAAAGATCATTGAGGACCACCTTAGAAGCTGGCACCCAGACCCAGATGTCCTTATTACTTTCTCTCTCACTTCCTTCTGATCTTTGCTCAAATATCATCTTATCAGAGAGGCTTTTTCAAACAACTCTATATAAACTGGCCCATGCCATCCCCTTATCATATTTTTTTCTTCATAGCACTGACTACAGCACGATATGTATTTGACTTTTTATTATCTCTTTGCCACTACCAGTAATATGTAGGCTTAATGATAGCTGGAGCTTAGATTTGTTTACTCCTGAATCCTCAGATCCTAAAACAGTGCACATAGTAGGCATTGGGTTAATATTTGTTGAATAAATGAATTTGGATCATTAGGAATGCTTTCACCAAATAATCCAAATCCAAAAATTAACAGTGGGCAAACCATAAAAACAATTCATTTAACAAGGATTACGAAAGTAGGTAGTTCCACGGTTGAATCAGCAGATCAGTAACATCAACAAGAATTTAGATTCTTTCTCCCCTTCCATACCACGGTCTGCAGGCTCTTGGCTTTTCTGCCATGGGCTTATCACCTCATGGTTTCAAGGTGGCTACTGCAGCTCCAGGCAACACATTCTTTGGACCACATTCAAAGGCAAGAAGAAAGGGAATAGCTAGAGCAAAGAGAGAGAGAGTTCTTTTCACATGCCTCTCTCCTTTAAGCAGGAGGAAAAAAAATATTTCCTAGAAGCCCCACCACAGACTTACTCCTAAATCTCATTGGTCAAAACTAGGTCACATGTCTAACGCTGGCTTAAAGGGAGGCAGTGAAGTGAGAATCTGACCACTTTATCCTCTATAGTAAGAAAGGAGAAGGGGAGTGGGAAATGTTGAGGAGCCAAAAATCAGTTGTTGCCACAACATCCCAGTAAATTAAGACATTTCTAAATATTGATTCAATGATAGAGACTTCCAAAAGGAAAAAAGCAAACTTTCAGAGGGTTACACAGAGCTTCCAGCTAATAGATAACTAGAGTAGGTAACTCATAATGGGAGTGAACTTTAAAAATATGTGACAAACGTTGAGGACTAGGGCTGTTTTGCTAGGGCTGCAAAGGAAGCCCTCACCTGTCATAAATTTTTATGCATTCTGGTTTTATGTACAGTGAAGTCCTCATTATTTTGTTTTATTATTTGAGTCCCTACCTTTAGAAGACCACATATGAAAGTAGAAGTTAACAGAAAAATTTCAATGAGCTGACCACTTACGAAATTACTTCTGACTCAAAAAGTCCAAAAGTATCTATCAAGTTGAATTCTTATTTTTGTTAATCGGTCTTCCAGTTGTTAATATCATGTTGATGCAGTGCAATACCAGTGCAAAGTGAAAGTACAAATGTTGGGAAAGACACAGGCTTTTGAGAAGCTGAAAATGATTCAGGTTTCCATGAAGTTGACAAATGATGACTTAGCTAAATTAACATTAAGAAAGAGAAAGGCAACAAAGATAATGAAGATACAGTTAACACTTCAAAAGATAATTTGAAAAAGAATTGGGAGACCAGAGACCTTTGGGAAAATGACATCTTGAAAATTTTTTGCAAAAATTACCATTTGTAAGATCATGCTATGAAAGCCAACTATGAAGTACAGGATACCGTACCACCAAAAATCACAGTTAGGTGAAATCAACTTTTGATTCATTCTTGTTCATTGAATTAGTACATAG